TGTATTAGATGATACATTCAATGATTGATTATGTATTGTTTGTATGTTTGATTATAAAAATAAAAAACTTTTGTATTATAAAAAAAAAAGCCGTACTTCTTATGTTCCATGAGATGACATTGTTTAATACATGGGACTTGGAGCATGACAATTCTACCCTACATTATAGGCAGAATGTACCACAGGAGCATGAAAAATCAAGAATACAAATAAAATAGTATTTGCGTTTGCAGAAATTGCCAGATTTTTTTTTGCTGAAAAGAATGAACTGGTGAATAACTAAATTTGGAAGAGGACGCTTTAACCACAACACAAGAGACGCTAAGGCACGTTTTATAACTGTTCCATGCACTTGAAGTTTTTTTTCATTTCATCCCCCATCAACATTTATAATAAGTTTAAGTTAACTTCTGTACCAGTTTTAAAGTAGTGTTTTCCCCTTTAAATGAGCAATATCCCATGTGTAAACCCACTCATCACAGAGCACAATCAAATTTCTACAAATTACAATGAAGTATTTTCTTGCCTAGATGGGCGTGAAGTAAACTTGGAAAGTGCAATAGGAACTGCCTGCTATCTTTTATTGGTAAGTTTACTAAGGGAGGGTTTCTTTGAACATTTTGAATCTTTTTTCTCTGTGGTTTTTTTTTTTTTTGCCTATGGAACTAGCTGCTAATTATTTATGAGCTCTTTTCACACCTTTGGCATGTAAAAGCTTTTCTGACTTCCATTGGTGGCTTTCTCAGGTGATTCATTGGAGATGGGAACAGCCTGGTACCTCTTGGCAAATATGGACTATTGCAGGCACGCCCTTCTTCTCAGGTCCAGGACATATTCCTCAGATAATATTCTTCTCCTCCTCCACTCATGGAGAAAGAGGAAGAGCTGGGCCAGCTGCTACTTCAGTTGTACCTGGACTTTCCATACCACAGCATATGAAGCAGCTCTTTAATAGTCTAAGAACCTGGCCATTAAAGCAGGAAAACAGCTCCCAGTTTACCATACATTTTTTCCAATTTACCAAATAGTTGAGTGAACATTTAGCAGGTCTGAGAGACTTGACTCTCTGGCTTTAATGAGCACCTCTACAGTGTGACAGATCTCCTCTTTTGATGTAAATTGTAAAGCAGGGGAGAAGGGTTTGCTGTCTTTCAAAACTTGATATCTCCCCAAACAGGTATCACTGTCCTGACTGGCAGATTATTTCATTCTAGCAGGTGGCATTCAGAACACAGGCAATAAAACCAGAAAGTTTCACCATTCATTTTACTCAATACACTCTGCATATTAGGAATTCAGACAGCTGTCAACCCTGAAGCCATTTTGGAGCATCTTCAGGGCTGCCACAGCAGGGCTGGCTGGAGCTGTGGAAACGGGATGGGGAAAGTAGTACAGTGGTCTAAAGCACCCTGTTATTAAGACCAGCTGCCTGCAATTACTGTAGGTTCGAATCTCGCCAGGCTCAAGGTTGACTCAGTCTTCCATCCTTTCTAAGGTAGGTAAATTGAGGACCCAGTTGTCGGGGCAATAAGCTGACTTTGTATAAATATACAAAAGGATGAAGGCTATTGCTTAGCACATTGTAAGCCGCCCTGAGTCTCCGGAGAAGGGCGACATATAAATTATTTTTTTAAAAAAAATAGAGATAGCTGGAGACTTGTAGCCAAATAAAATTCTTTCTCCTGGGAACCAAGAACATTCTCACCAGGTGCTGGGGAGGCATGTTCTGATACCATCTGAACTTTGGACTGTGACCGAATTGGACCATGTGATAGACCTGTGAACTGGGGGAAAGAACTTTGACTTTTAACTTGGGTGGGGAAAAGCGCGGGACTTTCAGTTGGGTTTTCACCAGATGTGTCAATATGACATGTCTAATAAATCTGGACTTTGAGGGGCACCTTGGCCTTGGAGTTTTGATTGTGTTGGGTCTGTTACTTGGAACCCTAACAACAGCATTATTCAGCTACAAGCCAAAAAAGAAGCAATGCTTAAAGATACAGATTGGCAATAATGACCACAAATTTGCTGCAAGTAACATTTTCCACCAAGCTGAAGATGGTGGACAGCACTTTAGTTCATAATGGGGAAAGACCTAGTCCCCTGCATAAAACAGATAATGGAGATAAGATGCCACTGCTTGATATATAATCATTGTAAATCCCCAATGAAAGTACATTTTGGTTCCTCTTTTAACACAATACTTAGCAAAGGCACGCAAATACAATCTCCCACTCTCTTCAATGTTAAACTAACAGAAACAAATAAAAAGATCAATAATTAAAATTTAATGAGAATGTGTATGTGTATGTGCCTTCTAGCTAGTCTTGACTCCTGGATAAATACAGGTAGTCCTCAACTTACAACCACAATTGAGCCCAATATTTCTGTTGCTAAGTGAGATATTTGTTAAGTGAGTTTTGCCCCATTTTACAACCTTTTTTGCCACAGTTGCTAATTGAATCACCCCAGTTGTTAAGTTAGTAACACAGTTGTAAGTGAATCTGGCTTTCCCATTGACTGCTTGTCAGAAGGCCTCAAAAGATGATCTCATAACCCCAAGACAATGCAACCATCATAAATATGTTACCAAGTGTCTACGTTTTGCTCACATGAACATGGGGAACAGTCATAAATCACTGTCATAAGTTTTTTCAGCACTTTTGTAACTTCAAAGAGTCACTAAATGAACTATTGTAAGTCAAGGACTACCTGTAGAAGGGATGAAATCCAACTTCTTCTCTCCAGATAATAACTTTACATTTTCCCTTCAGCTTTTTTTAAGTGTAGACTTCAGTGCCTAGAATTCCTCAGCCAGCATGTTTTAAGATATGTGGACAGCATGGCAGATGGGGAAATCTGAGAAAAGCAGTTCATGCCTCTTAAAGTTGCTGAGTTTGAAAAATACTGCCCTAGAGTGTGTGAGAGAGGGAAGTGAGTGGTCTTTGGTGCTCTCTGAACTTGCTTGTTTTCTTGCAGATGTTTCATTACCCTAACTAGGTAACATCATCCGTTCTAGCAAGGAGTGCTCAGAGAGAGAAGTGAAAATAACAAGCAGACTAGCAAGATCCTGTTACTATAGCCTATGTCAATAAAGTATAGTTCTACTCTTCCTGCAAGTCAGTTTCGTGGTCTGGCCTGCCTTATAGGATTGGCAATCAATCTCAAGAAAACTGTGGCAGCGGTCAGAAAGGAAAGCAAAGAAAGGGAGTGTTTTAACAATAGCAATAGCGCTTAGACTTCTATACCGCTCCATAGTTCTTTACAGAACTCTCTAAGAAGTTTGCAGAGTGAGCATATTGCCCCCAACAATCTGGGTCTTCATTTTACCAACCTTGGAAGGATGGAGGGCTAAGTCAACCATGAGCCAGTCAAGATCAAACTCCTGGCAGTAGGCAGAGTCAGCCTGCAATACTGTATTCTAAATCATGATTTAAACTATTGCATCCAAAGGCAGTTTTTCAATAGAACAGGAACTCCCTGATTTTTACTAATCCCTCTTTACCCACTGCAGTTTTTCTGGGAATTAAAGGTTTTTATGGAACACTGTAGATGTTGTAGCAAGCAGGAACTAATGTTATAAAGAATGGCAAAACTATTATGGATACAAACAACAGAATTTAACATTGTCAAGTGGATTAAATATTTATTTTTATTTATTGTTTTATTTATTATTAAATGTATTTGCCATCCATCTTACCTTGGGGCTAATTTGGGCATCTTACAATAGCAGAACGTAAAATTATGAAAAATGTAAACATAGCAATAGTAAGACAATGAAAACAAAATGAATAATGAAAGTACAGCAATATGAATTGAAAAATGGTTGGAGAAGAAATAGGATGCACAAAGGGGGAGGAGATGGGGATCAGCTATTAATCTAATATCCACCTCTAGTGTGGTACTGCCCCATTGGGTCCCTCCCCAGGCCACTTGGCAGAGCCAGGTTTTCGGGCTCTTATGAAAGAATAGGAGGGTGGGGGCAGATCTCACCAAGGGATGAGGTTAGGGTTTAAACTAAAGTAAACATAGTTCAGAAGTAGCTTAAGGTCATTCAAGAGATGGATCTGGTATTTTCTTTTCTTTTTTTTTCTATTTTGGCATCTGGAGGATTATTTTTTTTAAAGGTAACTCCTCATCACATTTTAGTAGAGGGGTTGATAAGGATGAGAGCCGAAAAAAAGGACTTTGTGCAAGATGCAGGCCACAATTTCTCTACTGGCTGAGATTTAAGCTTAGTAATATTTCAGGGTTCCCTTCACCTTCCCCATTTACCTATGATTTTGTGAAATGGAATTATTTTGTAAACAGAAATGTTCCAGCCAAAAATGTTTTAAAAGCAATGCTTTTTAAATATTTTCTAAGATCTGGGAGAAATTTATATTAATTACCATATTAACTCATTTTTGTTCATTTTTCCTATATACAGTAAATAAGAACGCAAACTCTTATGAGCATTAGATTGGTAATACTGTATCAGTGTGGGTTAATCATGGCACTGTTCAATAATTCACAAATTTGCATCCTCATGCAAATGTACTTTGCCCAATTTACCTTACTTCTACTTACTGCCTATTACTTTACATCCACTAAGATGGATTCATTACTTCGGAAGATTCGGAAGATTCACTACTTCTACTCCTAGGGAGGTTATGTGAAAATTAAGGTTGGAATTAGGCAGCAATTCAAGGCAAACTTTATTTAAATAGAGATATGAGTATAAACTTTAACCTTCCTATTGACATTTTCCTTAGTTTGTCCTGAGGGAGAGGCCTCATTACACAAATTATGGTGGAAGGCTGAAGAGACAAATACTGTATAGTGAAATAATCATAAAGAAATACTGATCTTATCTGGACTTTGGACTGAAGCACAAAGGCTGATTAAATGTCTCTTTTATTGCCAAGCCATAGGACGGGATAAAATAGTAATAGTGCCAATTTCCCCATAACTGTTATCAAAAAAGGCGGAGTTCAGCTGTGTCAACCCTCTTTTTTACACCCAAATAAAAAGGTCCAAAACTGCTCTATGAAGCATTTTCTCCTGCAAGAGTGCTTGATATATTTTGTTCTTTAGACACATATATACATACTACCAATGGCTCGATCTGGCAGTGTCAATTTTAAAAATGTCTTTTTCGAAAGTAGCGGATCATCTGTTCCTAGTTCCATCTATAGAACATCATCCATTAAGAAAACCCGAACACCTAGTGTCTATGGAGGAGCAGGTGGCTCCGGCACCAGAATTTCATTTGGCAGTAACTACAGCAATACCCCTGGCAGTAATTTGCTACGCAGCACTTCCATAAATGAACTGCTGCTTACTAGCAATGAAAAAACTACCATGCAGAATCTGAATGACCGTTTGGCTGCGTACCTGGAAAAGGTACACTCCTTAGAAACATCAAACTCTGTTTTTGAAAAGCAGATTCGGGAATGGTATGAAAAGACTTCCCCTATTGCTAAGCAAGACTATAATGCCTTCTTTAAAGTAATCAAAGAACTTCAAGATAAGGTAAGATTCTCTTTCGTTTCTTAACAGTTTACTGCATGGGGCAGTTAAGAGTAGACAATTGTTTGTCTATTGTTTCTAAAGGCAAGTTATGTTGAAGCCTGATCAAGGATATGTCACGGTTATGTCATTAATCATTGTCTTCTAACAATAATATTACCGACTATTTATGAAGGCATTATAACTGACTTTCTGTAATTGAATATCATAGGGCTGTCAGATGCCTACCAATTGTGCAGTAAAAAGAAGAAAAAGGGGATAGAGGCTCTGACACACTAACTGTTGTATGTCTAGTTATCCTAGGGCTAATCTAGTCCTGGCAAGTATCAAACTTTTCATTTTCTAACTATCTGGCATTATGGCCATCTCACAGTCTTTCCAAAGATGGTGAACTATGGATAGGTAGGTGCGAGTATTCACCAGACTGGCAACCATTCTACTCTGGGTTGCTATATATCAACCTTGAAATGTAGCCATTTTGCATGCTTGCTTGCTTTGTCACCCATCCAGACATTATTTCCAGGCTATTAGATTTTTTTTCAGTATTACCTTTTCAGCAAACGGCAATTAAAAAGAATTTGCCGTGCCAACCAATCAGCAGGTTGGCAAGAAGATTCTTGCAGAGATGCTGTAATTTTTTTTTTTCAATGGGAAAATATTGACATGGAAAAAAAATGAGATTATTAGCAATAATTGAAATATATTAGGATAACAAAAAATAATGCCAGGAACTCAGAGTAAGTGGAACTTGTTTATTCAACAGGAAATAATAGATATTCCATTATAATAAAGTAAAAGTAGTATTATAATGCTAGTTACTAGCTGCAATTAAACTCTTCAAGAGATTTTTTTTATTTAAAACATTTATATAGCCATCCATCTTTCAGCTAACTCTGCGTGGCTCCCAATCAAATAAAAAGATAAAATCATTTAAAAACTATAAAATGCAACCAGCTAAAAAATTAAAAACAACTAAAACCTGGCACCAATCCATGCTAATGTGCCATTAACTAATCTCCCAATGCTTGGAGGTAAAGCCAAATCTTTAAAGCTTAAAAGATTGGGGGTCTGTTAAACTTTAGGTAGCAAGATGTTTGACAAGGCAGGGGCTGCCATGGAAAAGCCACATTTTATAATTCCTGTTAGATGACATTTTTGCGGGGTAGAGGGAAGCACTCAAGTGTTTGCCAATGCTCACAATGTTACAGAACAAGAAAAACATCCTTGATCAAGGATGGCATCACATGATAATATAGCACTATTTTAAATGCTGTGAGGAAGCAATTTTTATTTCACTACTTCAACATTTCTAAATATATGTGGCCACATAGCTAAGTCAACATCCAGAGTGAGAAATGTTGGAAACCTAGATATCATTCCAGAAACTCATACAGATTATATGCATAATACATGCATATAATCCTGCATGTATTAATTTCAGAGCAAATACTATATATATTATTATCTACCATAATTGTTGTATTATTATAGTACTCCTATGACATCAAGGGACGCGGTGGCTTAGTGGGTAAGGCGCTGAGCTTGTCTATCGAAAGTTCGGCAGTTCAGCAGTTCGAATCCCTAGTGCCCCGTAACAGGGTGAGCTCCCATTTCTTGTCCCAGCTTCTGCCAATCTTGCAGTTCAAAAACATATAAAAAATGCAAGTAGAAAAATAGGGACCACCTTTGGTGGGAAGGTAACAATGTTCCGTGCGCTTTTGGCATTTAGTCATGCCGGCCACATGACCACGGAGACGTCTTTGGACAGTGCTGGATCTTCGGCTTTGAAACGGAGATGAGTACCGCCCCCTAGAGTTGGGAACAACTAGCACATATGTGAGAGGGGAACACTTACCTTTACCTATGACACTTGTTCCTCTCGTTTTTCTTTCCATATATCCAATTGTTTTGAAAGTCCAAAAGTTGATCAGAAATGCCTTATGTGTGAGATTTTTAATTAATTCATCACACCTCTCTTGTAACCATTCTGCAGCTATTCGAATCTCTTTCATGATATTATATTCAAATCATTATCATTTTAGCCATTATCTATCCACTGCAGGATGAAGGCTTCTTCAGCATGTTTCCAAGCAAAACAGTCCTGAGCTTTCTTTTGCCAATTGGTCCTGTAATACTTGCTGATATCATTGATCCATCTTGTTTTAGGTCTCTTTCATGGATGCTTCTTATTAAGGGGGATGCATTCTATGACTGCCTTGGTCCACCCGCCATTGGTTCTTCTTGCTATGTGACCAGCCAATTTCAATTTTCAAATCCTTTACTCTCTTGATGATATTGTATATTATTGTTTGTTTTCTAATCTATGTGCAGGTTTTTCTATCTTATCTTATAATGCCAAGCATGTATCTTTCCTTGGCTCTTTGCACCACTCGTAGCTTTTGTATCAATTGTGACATTAATGCAGGTAGCACACCAGTGGTAGGTTGCCCCCAGTTCAGACCAGTTCGCAAGAACCGGTAGTAAAACCAGCAGGAGGCGCTGCCCAACGCCCCAGATGTCCTAAGGTAAGTAGAACCCACCCCTGCAGCACACTGATAGAAAACTTTTCTCTTCAGGCATAGGAGAAGATTGTTCTTGAAAATTATGCTTAGCTTGCCAAATGCCTGCCAACCACATTTAACACGCCATTCAATTTCTTTTATTGTATTATCTTCCATTGAAGATAATGTCTCTGTCTCATCCTTAGACTTTTTATCTTTTTGTTAGATTCCCCTACTTTATATAAATATTTTATAATATGGATTACAAACTGCTTTGAGATTTAACAGTACGCAAATACTTATGCTTGTGACCGATGGATGGATGTTCGATTCCCAGAAATGGTCCATGACATTTTACTAACAGAAGGATGGCTAGATGGGGAATAACAAGTGCTGCATAATATTAGAAATTCCCCAATTCCTGGTTTACAGCAATGGTGCAATGTACACATTAGACATTTTAATCACAGTGGAATGGTTTGTATATAGGAGGGCATCCAAATTATAAGACAATTTAAGAAATATTTTTCATTGATCATAAAATATGTGGGTACTACCAAAAGCTTTGTTTCAATGATGACTTTTATTTTACATAAAAGTCTTATTTTATTTTACTTATTTTACACACAGTATGGGATATTATATTGGGCTTTAGGACCACTGAAAGATGAGAATGAAGTAGTTGACTTCATACAAATGCTGGCCAAGCTTTTATTTTAGATGCTGCAGTTCTCAGGGTCTGTCCTAAATTTAAGTACTATTTAGCATTTACCACCGGCAACAAATAGTGCTAGCTTTGTGTCTCTTAAGCTAAACTAGTGCCTTCAAGTGCAGTGGAAAATATGTTCCATCACCAATGTATATGGAATTAGCAGTCAAATAATAGTTCGTCATCATGGGAAAGACTGAGGGCAAAAGAAGAAAGGAACGTCAGAGAATGAGGTGGCTGGATGGAGTCACTGAAGCAGTAGGCATGAGCTTAAATTGACTCCAGAGGATGGTAAAGGACAGGAAGGCCTGGAGGAATGTTGTCCATGGGGTCATGATGGGTCGGACATGACTTCTCAACTAATAACAACAACAATAGTTCATCTGCGAGAGAATGATATTTAAGGACATTTCCACATGTGAGTGTTCAAATAGTCAAACTGAAAAGGAAGCTGCTGCCTTTTAGATAAAACTTGAAAGTGGTTTTCTTGAATATTTACAGTATTCAAGGTCTTTTTAAAGTATTTAACTTCTAGTTAATGATTCTAAGGACTCAAACCAAAAGAATAATGCTTTGCTTTTTTGTTATATTTTATTCTTTCTCAGATTACCAAAGCCCGAATAGATAACACCAGGATCATATTGCAAATTGACAATTCCAAGTTGGCTGCTGATGATTTCAGAGTAAAGTATGTATTCTAAAAAATAAAAACTATAGAAAGCAATCAACATCTTCAGCAAGATTTAATTATCAAATATTTTCATAAAGGCATGGAAGCTATACTTAAAATAAAAAACTTTAAACAGTGTACCACTGAAAGCAGTGTTGAAATTCAAAATTTTTTACTACCGGTTCTGTGGTGGGTGTGGTGTGGCTTGGTGGGCGTGGTAGGGGAAAGATACTGCAAAATCTCCATTCCTTCTCCACTCCTGGGGGAAGGATATTGCAAAATCTCCATTCCCACCCCACTCTGGGTCCAGCCAGAGGTAGTATTTGCTGGTTCTCCAAACTACTCAAAATTTCCACTACCGGTTCTCCAAACTATTCAAAATTACTGCTACTGGTTCTCCAGAACCTGTCAGAACCTGCTGGATTTCACCCCTGACTGAAAGAATAATGAATTTTAATCATAGTAAACTATGCTGATATTCCAGCACTATTTTCTTCTCAACCCAACAACAATCAGTGAGCTTTAATGTGCATAATCTGCTGAACATCACTGCCAATCTTGTTAGTAGGATAATGGGATGATCAATAGGAAAAAAAGATGATCCTGATCTTATTGGTCATTTTGTGCTACCATGAGCAATATCTATTCCATTTAGTGTTTACCACTCTTTTTTTCCCCTCTGTATCTGGTAGTGTGCCAAACATGCCGTAAAGCTGGAGCATAATTTTAGAGAGAACTTCTCCTACTTTATGAGGCAGCTCTTCCCCCAGATCCTCAGCTGTCCAGCAGGCTTCTACTAACAGCCTGTGCTCAAAATAAGGTTTCCAAACAGCTGGTCCATAGGCTCCAGAAAATAGCAGGTTTGAAAGAGCCAGGCTTTCCCAATTTCCCACAAACTGCAGTAACTAAGTGGAGCATGGGTAGAGAAGGGTTTTGACAGATGGTTACACTTACAGGTTTAGCCATCTGTTGAAATTACCTTTCAATCACAGTAGGAATAGAGTCAATAGGTGATGTCCTGCTAGCTGGTAATATTTATAAGTTAAAAGGCAACAAATATTGTTTAAAATGTATCTGAAATGAACTGAAGAGTTGATGTGGTTAAAGAATAATCTAAAGAAAACACATTACAACAGGTTTGACCAATACTGCCTTTCAACAGACTACATCTAGATATTTCCAAGGGAGTAGTCCACGGTTAATATATATAGATATATAAATATATGGATATACTTGAGAGTTGTTGGGCTGGGTTTTTTTTTTTTTTCTTGTATCCTGCTCAAAATAGCTTTGGGAAAGAACCTACAAAACATTCAAAACTGAATTCACACTGGGATCAAGCTATATTGCAACAGATTAATTACACCATAAACAGAATATGTAGAAGGTTGATCAACAACATCAAAATGGCAGGTGTGAGTAGGTGATTCTTGTTAAAAGGAATAGGGATTTAACCACCCAGTCACACCCACCATTTTAATGTTATTGACTGCTGTTGCTGCTGAAACCCATGACCAAAACTTAGTAACAATTCCAACAATGTATTTTGTGACATCTTAATACTTACAAAAGGATTACAAGTCTTGTAAAAGAGTTTCTCTTTAGAAAGTGGCAATTGTTTGGGAGGATCTACTCCAAAAACATCGGAAAGCAGAATTTGAAACCAAATTATTATTAAGAAGCCAGTCATATGTAAAAATAAAGTGGAACTGGTAGAGAAATTAATTATTTTGCAATAATCCTGACTTGTTATACATTTTTTCTAAAAATAAATAGGTATGAAACTGAGTTGAGCTTGCGACTAAATGTGGAAAATGACATCATGGGATTACAGGGACTAATTGATGAGCTCACACTAGTTAGGACTGATTTGGAGCACCAAATTGAAAGTCTGAAAGAAGAACTGGCTTACCTCAAGAAACAGCATGAGGAGGTAAGGACACATCACCAATTGAATCAAAGGCTTTTGAATGTTCCTCCTATAGTTTGTTATTCAAGGTATTGATCTACAGAAGCTATAGATGTTTTTGTTTTGACGCACATGGTAGAACTAAGCCAGGAAAACACACACACAAAGAGAGAGAGAACTATGAAGAGAATCACTGTAGAACATCATTCTATGCATGAGGACTTTCAGATCTGACTGCAGACATTTAGATAACTAAATCAAAATGACAGCAGAAGGATATAAATACTCTTGACTCTTTGCTATGAGCTAGTTATTGTCTGCACTTTTGTAGCCCACATTAGTTTAATATATTAGGCTATAAAGTCCAGTGAATGAAGAAGTCAATTAGAATATATGGCCTAGTGAATGAAGAAGGGTTATAGAACTGATAGCTTTTTATAGGCCACAGACAGATAAAAACTACTGGGGAAAAAAACAGTAGTTAGCCATCAAAAGTTATATTGTCTCCCAATAATGGGTTACTGACAGAGATTCACTAGGCCATATAGTCTACAGTGGGTGACCTTTGGTATTCCTCAGCTAGATCTTCATGGACTAATGGACTAACTCTAGATTTCAAAGCCTTGCCTCATGGTTCTTTTCATGATTCTTTATCCTGGACTGGTCATCTCTTCAAATAAAGCATATAAAGGACTGAAAGGATTGCTCTCTATAAATTAGGATACTTTATAACAGGGGTCAACTTCCTTGTGTTTCTGAGATGTCTTCAATTTTCATCTTTCCAGCTAGCATGAGCAATGACCCGTGATGGAGACGTTAAAGTTCCTAGAAATCAACAGGTTCTGTAATTTGCTTTAGATGTGAAATTCAATTACATTGCCTCTAATTCTTCTTCATAATTTCTTTTAAACTGGCTATTGAGAATTAGAAAGAATCTAAGATCTATTTCAATCCCAGTTTCTTTAGGAATGCTGTGTGATGGCTGGATAGCTACTTGGCTAATAGGCCAAATTTATAGCTCAAAATACTTTAATGAAATATAGAAACTGATAAGAATACATTTTTTGAATTGATCACAGATTTAATTAATAATTTTTGTAAACAATTATAGGAAACAGCAAGATTACGTGGACAGCTGAGTGGGGATGTTTCTGTGGAGCTAGATGCTGCTCCAGGCATTGATTTGGGCCAAGTGATGGAAAACATGCGCCAGCAATATGAAATCCTGGCTGAAAAGAACCGTCAAGAAGCTAAGAATCAATTTGATAAACTGGTGATGCTTGTTATTATATTTAATACTTTGCAAACTACAGAAACTTTATTAAGGTTTTGTTTGTGTTTCTTCCTGCAACTCATCTGTAAAACAAGCCATTAATTGTTCACAAACTGGAAATTCAAGCTAAATTTCCCTGAAGACTTACTAAGCACATTAGAAAAAATGCAGGCCAGCTTCTTTATTTGGATCAACACATTTGAAATTCAAACACCTTTTTAAAAATTTATATATAATTTTTCTTCAGATTTAAGGAATGAGTGGAAGAGAAAAAGTATGCCTGTGGTCATAGTATTTGTTTGTATCCATAGATACATTTTATGTTGAGCTTAGAATGACGATGTTGGAAGTAAAGGCATTTGAAATACTGAGTTTTGTGAATTCTGAAACAAATCAACCTGATCTAATTCTAAAATAGCCCTTTTCAGTACTTATAATAGCAATTGCACTTAAACTTATATACCGCTTCAGAGTGCTTTTACAGCCCTCTCCAAGTGGTTTACAGAGTCAGCATATTGCCCCCAACAATCTGGATCCTCATTTTACCCACCTCTGAAGAATGGAAGGCTGAGTCAACCTTGAGCCTGGTAAAATTCAATCTGCCAAATTACAGGCAGCCAGCAACCAGCAGAAGTAGCCTGCAGTACTAAATTCTAACCACTGCGCCACCATGGCTCCTCAAGTAGTAATAGCACCTGCAGTATTTATTACTTTTGTATTCCCTTAACCAGTGGTGCGGTTCAGCCAGTTTGCACCACTTCGGGAGAACCGGTTGTTAACTTTCTGAGCAGTTTGGCAAACTGGTTGTTGGAAGAAATCATTAGGGCAGAGAACAGGTTGTTAAATTACTTGAATCCACCACTGCCCTTAACTGTGCAGATATTAACAAGATACACTTAGGATGTATCAGAAGCATCTTTCTATATCAAGTGAAATATTTTAAATTTCTAATTAATCCTGTTAAACCTGTATCCTGTATTACAGCATTATTTGCCTTGTATTCACTGGATTTTTTTTAAAATACACTTCAGATTGAACAATTGAATGTAGAAGTCACCACAACTACCCATCAACTTGAAACACACAGAAGTGAGATTACAGACCGGAGGAATACACTCCAAAGTCTGGAGATTGAACTCCAATCTCAATTGAGCTGGGTAAAGTCTGATAATTAAAGTACATAAGGTTGCTGATCTTTTTGTTGATGATTACTTCTGTATTTAATGCAATGTGTAATCTTAAAAAATATTCTCCACAGTGGCAATTTTTGGAAAGCATAGAACTATAAATTATGTGCTCCTTGTATTTAAAATGTATTTGATTCATTAGGTAATAATGTAGGGCCCACCATTGATTGCTAAAGTTTCCTAAAATGGTAGATTCATCAATATTGATTTCATTTGAAATTAGTTGGTAAAATGGCAAGCAAAACTGTTATTATTCAGAAATAGTTTCAGAGAAACCGTGATTATATACTAAATAATATGTGATAATGATAGGAAGAGAGAAGGGCAATAAAGAAGTATGAAATATAAATAAATAAATGAACAAATAAATAAATTCAACCAGGTTTAGCTATATACTGATTTTAGTAAGATTTTTAAAAAGCCTATGAGACTGAGGTAATGCTTCTTGTATTGATAAAAAAAAAAGAGTCCCCCACTTTTATAACTTTTATCAAAACTAATAGCATTGTTAAATCTATCATGATCACGAACAGTTGCTGAGCAAGTAGGGAGAAGCAAATTCTTATGAAATTGACACCCTTCAGTCTGGAAGCCAAATTTTACCTAGTGCCAGAACCTGTCCAACTATACATCTGTTATATTCCTCTAGAAAACTGAAAGAGAGAATGCAGTGGCAGAAATTGAAACTCATTACAGAACTATATTGACTCAAATTCAAATGGCCATTGGAAACATTGAGGCCCAACTGATGCAGCTGCGGAGTGACATGGAGCAACAGAGTCTGGAATACAGCATCCTCTTGGACATTAAAGTCAAGCTAGAAGTAGAGATTGATACTTATCGCCGTCTCCTGGAAGGGGAGAGTTGGAGGTAAATAATTCAGACTAGAGAAACTTAGTTGGGAAAGTTAGCAGAAAGCTACTACTTAGGGAAAAGATTCTATAAACAAAATGGGTAAAACTGGTTTCTAACAAGATGCTCCAAAGATGTTTAAGATGGCCAGTCACAAAGCAATATACAATTTGCTAGAAAATGATGCTAGGTAATTTTTTGGGAGTCACAATTTTCTGGTCATGGGAGAAACTCATATAGCTCATCTCAAAGCAATATCATATATTTTGATTTGTTCAATAATATTTGTTTTGTCCAAAGTCCTAGGCCAGTGTTTCTCAACTGTGGAATTCTGAGAGTTGAAGTCCACGTATCAAGTTGCCAAGGTTGAGAAACTGTCCTGGGCAAATGGAAATGAAGAATTAGGACTTAGCAAACACTATGACATTTAATTCCTCTAAATGGCCATTGCTGAATTGATGCCCACTTGAGCTGTGCTTTAGGCATTCTGGGAGCTGTGAACAGCACCAGGTTTGTAAAGGCCTTAAAACAAAACTAGGAGACTGACAATATGCATTGTTTTTTTAAACAGAATGATTGCTTCAGATTTGGAGACAAACAAAGAAGCTGAAAAAGGTAAGGGTATGTTCCCAGCCCTGCTTTCTTCAATGAAGGGTTCATCACATTTGTGTTTTTTCCATCGGAGGTACTATTTCACTGGAAAGAATAATACTCTTTTATGGTGTTCCTGATCTATGAAAAAATGTAGCATAAAGTTTAAAATAATATCATACTAAGAATAAAAATTAAGAAGCATCAATCTGTTTATGTGAGCAGCCAAATCATCTGAGCACTGAAGCGTGGGTGCATCAAAGTGACATTAGATTATTCTTCACTTGATAAGAAATGGAGCACACATAGCTTCCAGGGAGGCTATAGTATAAATATATGTGGAAAAAATGTTCTACAGCAGTGTTTCTCTACCTCAGTAACTTCAAAATATGTGTATGTCAGCTCCCAGAATTCCCAAATTGGGATGTTGGCTGGAGAATTCTGGGGGTTGAAGTCCATACATTTTAAAGTTGCTAAAGTTGAGAAACACTATTCTAGAGGTAGGATACTCAGGCTGATATTTATCTATCTAATTTATATAGCTTCCCATCTTGCAAACAAGTGTATCTCAAAACTAATCTTGGTATCTTCCTGGGGAAATAGGTATCTGAAGTAGAATAGCTTTTCCCCCCAGTTGTCTCCATTTAAAAAATTTGGGAAGGAAACAAAAGGGAGAGATAGAAGAAAATATTTGTAGCTCAGGGTTGAATGGGTTCAATATGGTTGAACAAGAACAGGGACAATTTACACTTCTGGAAGCCCTTAAAATCCATGCTCTTTTCATCCAGGATCCCTCTTTTGGCTCATCAACATTATATTCTGTAAGCCACCATTATATTCTGTGAGTCGCCATGGGCGAATAGGTGGCAATATAAAAGATAGATAGATAGATAGATAGATAGATAGATAGATAGATAGATAGATAGATAGACAGACAGACAGACAGACAGACAGACAGACAGACAGACAGACAGATAGATAAGGCTAATAGGCAGGGTTTTCCCTGTGGGCAAATGATCACATCAGGACCCAATCACCCTCTCCTTGGAACCCCTTTCTCCAAAGCTGCCCTTGCTCCCTTTGATTCTCTAGTTAGATTTTTATAGCTCTATATAAATTTAATAGGTTTATATTTATATCTGTATTTAGCCATGAAGCTTGTTGTTCCAGAGGCTCAGCTTTCATTTCCATTATATTCCAATCATAATATGATGTGACATTAAAAGAAATATTCCGAAGGACAAGTTTAAAAAAATCATACTACATTACTCATACCAGCACTGATATCATATTATTACTTGTTGAATGACTTAATTTTTCTATCCTTATTCCAGAAAAGAATAAAACTTTGAGGATCAAGACTGTGGTCGAAGAGATGGTGGATGGAAAAGTAGTATCCTCCCAAGTTAATGAGAGAGAAGAGAAGATTTAGAATCAGCCATGAAATAAATGGCATGTTATGTTCGTAATGACAAAAAGGAAGAAAAAATATTTCAAAAATTATCTTCCTGAAGAAAAAGAAAATTCTTTGCTGTCACTTTGAAATGATCATCTCCAATCAACTATTCTCCTAATTTCTACCATAAGTGGGGGGCAAAAAAGGTTAATTTAAAAAGAGAAATCTGCTCTAAAAGGATGATTTCAATCGTGTTAATTATACATACGGTAATTTCTTATTTTCTACTTTAATTAAAAGAACAGAAAGCTCTTTGTTTCTTCATTGATTGCATAATTGGGCACTTGTGTTAAAACCATTTGACTCACTGAATGATTTCCTCAATGTTTCCTTTGTGGCAAGGGATAGGCAGAAGTTTGGGTCCAGGGAACTGCCCCAGATAATGGGTAAACCCTCTCATTGTGCCCTTGAGCATGCCTAGCCCTGTCACACACAGCACTTAGCCATACATCCAATCCATGTCAATCCACACACATTGCTTCCTCTTGTAGTCATCTACACTCCTTTATTTTTAAAATTAAGTATGACAAAAGGGAAGTCATTACATTTTCTTCCCAGCAAAGAAATTTACTATTACTGTATTTTTACTGCTCTACATTCGTTGGCTACACACACACACACACACACACACACATACACACAACACATACACAAAAAACACATACACACACCAAGGCTAAGGCTGGTTTCATAGGGAAAATGGAAGAATTCACCTCACTATTCAAAAACAGCTTCTGAGATGCAGGCAACCCATGAGCTGCAAATGGACCAGTCCTGTCTGAGGGAAAATATGGTGGTGGAATTGATTGGTGGTGGAATAAATCATTCATGATTTATGTTCTCTTAATTTTGATGAAAATTTAGTGAAACTAATTGAAAGTTTGAATCTTCAAACTCAGATTTATTAATCAAAATAAGTTGCAGCGTAAAACTGGCTCCAACTAAATTGCTTAATCAGCCATTTAATTTAAAATTAGCATGCCTAAATCCTTGGTACTAAATAGAGATATGTGTTATATATCTGCGCCTTAGATTATGGATTCTATCTTAAAGTTAAATAAGAAAAAAAGGACTATTTTAAAAACATAATTCTAGCTTTTTCTGTAAATGATGTAGCTTTAAAAGCTTTTTGTTTGACCCTCTATTCTTCCTACAATATATGGTATTTAATTCTACATCCAAAAATATATATACTTGAAAGTCGAATGATTATATCTGAATTTTAAAAAATCTGTAAATTGGGGAAACATACATTTATTTCATTAGCAAATTACAAATCTGGTTACTTTGTGGGAAGTAACAAAGAAGAGAGATGTGCATAAGAATTTTAAGCCAATAAATATGTTGGCAGTTAATAAACAGAGCTGTTGTTTAGATAGAGAAGAAATTATGAATTGCAAAAAGTACAATTTGCAAACATTATCTGTAGAAATCTTCTTTCTTTTTAATTAAATGTTATGTGTGGTGGAATCTTAAGATATTGATTTGACTTACTGGCTACATACTGACTGGTTTAATAGATCATATTATGCTTGACTTGATATTTATCTGAATATGTATCCATAACCCACTTTAGTCAAAGAAATAGAAGTAGGAGGAACTTTGGGGGGGGGGGGATGATCATATAATTCAGGAGTATTTTTAGAGAAATTGTGTGGTTGCTAAGAGTCAACACTGATTTGATGGCACATAATGAAAGCTGAATTTCCTAAAACACATATCTTATACTTTTAAAAATGAATTTTAATAAACTTATTGCTCTGATAAATTTATTATTGGAAATAATAAGCCAAAAAGCTAATGGGAAAAGATACTCAATGGGAAATGGGAAAAGATGCTTAAAATGTGTGAGAGTTCATAAGGAAATAGATATTAAAAACATCTAAGGGGAAATTAACACATACTAAATAAAACAATTAACATTGCCTGGTGACCTATAAATATTAACAAAAAGTGTTGAAAAGCAGACAAGAAGCAATTAGAGGAACTGAATAGAAAGGGAGCAGAATTGGAGAAAAGAGCGAGCTTCAGGCAACAGGAGATGGATCCAAATTTTGAGAGGGGAACTGCATCATTGTTAATAGCATTGTGGCAAATTCATAGCATAGAGATCATTTTAATAGACAGCACCACACAATATTTATTATATGTTAATACCAAGTTTGCTTTCTTACTCTCTCAAGTTCATTTTTTTAAACTTATTGGTTGGTTAGTTAGTTAGTTTATTTAGGCTGCCCAACTCTCAGTTACTCTAGATGGCTTACAAGGATAAAAACTCAATTAAAAAAAAACCAATAAAAAGCAATAATCCCTACCCACCTGGCAGCAACAATCAAATGAGCCATTTGATGGATTCCATCCCATGCTGGGGTCCCCAGGTCCACTGGCAAAACCAGATTCTCAGAGCCTTGAAAAACAGTGTCAAAGTGGTGGGAAGCAACTTTATCTCTGTGGGGATGATATTTCACTGGGATGGAGCCACCATGGAGAAAGCCCTTCTTTTGGGTCTTGCTAGATGGACCTTTTTAAGAGAGAAGATCCATAGTGTAGGAAGAAATATCTTTCTGGGTTCAGCTCCAAGTGGAGAAAAAGACACTGGAAACATGGAGACTGCTTGGAAAGATAGTTTAATGGTGGACAGGATCACATGGTTCGTGTTCCTGAACAGAAAAAGGGCAGAGACGCAGTGAGTCCCCGGGTTTTATGCCCTCTCTGGCTTTGAACTTCCTGGGACCCCGAAAAAGTATCCTGATTAGTTGTCAGACTCCCAGGGGGTGGGGGTCTTAGCTAGCCTTGCTGGCTGATGTAATCTTCCCAGGTGCCATGTGGTGAATTTCTGTTGCTAGTCCTATTGTGTTGCAGATGATGGTCCATTGACAAAGATTGAGTTTCTGCCTCTGGCCCATTGACAAAAGGTGGGGGCAGGAAGATGGGAGCTGCTTCGTCTTTAAAACATGCTTCTCCATGGCTCATCCAGGGAAACATAATATTCTGCCTTTTTAATATTTTCTAAATTATTTCATTCTTCTAGGAAAGGGGTGGGTGCTAACTTCCTACAATAGCATTCTCTGCCTCTTCTCTGGCAGATTGGGAAGATGTGACTGGGAAAAGATGGTCCTTCAAATATTCAGAGTATTTAGGTCAAATGCCTCTAGTACTCTTGTAATTATTTATGTAATATATGTAATAATATATCAGTTGTAATTTGCTGATACAGATTTTCTGCTTACACGCACACACGTGAACGCACACATGTACACACACACGCATACACACACATTTTCCCTAGTAAAATACATAAATATACAAAGTTTTCTTTTGAAAAAGTCTTTGATCAATTTGATCTGTACAGAGAAGCCAAAGAAAACAGTGATTGGTTTCACAACCATGAGTCATTATCTAATTCTATTAAAAAAAGGATTATTTCAGATTCTTTAGCTTCCTACATCAATACCAATCAAAGAACATCCTTGTGAAAACCACACCCATAATCCACAGATCCATTATAAAGTGATATACCCAAGGTGACATCACTGTCAAGATAAATAAAAACCAATGCAGAAACTAAAAAGGTTATGCTTTTGCTGTATTCATTATAGTATAATGCCTTGACTGAGTTGCAGATCTTCTGTACTTAAACATATAAACAAAAATCTAATAATTATTCTTCAAAGAATAAAATAACATGGCAGATCTCACATTTCAAACAGTTCACAAATCATCCTAGGATAAGCTTCCTCTGCCAGAACATTGTATGTACAGCATATTCATTGGTTTGTTGTTTGAGCAAATATGTCCTAATTTCATTGCTTGAATAGCATAAATCCCCATTGTCACTTTCATTCATTTGCAGCAATTTGATCTGCTGTTATTGAACTATTATCTATTCTTAAGTTTACTTTATATTCTTGCTGTGTATATTTGTCTTAACTAGTAATTTCTGAGACAGGTTACTATTAGCCTCATTTTATTCAAGGGAAAACAAAGTTTGTCATAGCAAAAGTGCCTTTGGCATTGGATATATGGACATACTGGATGCATCTAGATCCATGATGGCGAACCTATGGCATGCGTGCCACAGGTGGCACGCAGAGCCATATCTGTGGGCATGCGAGCATTGCCCTAGCTTAGCTCCAGCACACACGCGCAAGCCGGCCAGCTGATTTTTGGGCCTTCCGGAAGTAAGGAAATGGGCCGTTTCTGGCCTCCAAAGGGCTTCCGGGGGGTAGAGAAGGCCGTTTTAGCCCTGCCTAGGCTCCAAGAAAGGGAGGGCAAAAAACGGGCCTACCAGGCCCACCATGCCAATGCATGCCAGAAGTAGGGGGAGCTCACGTGCGCATGCGCAGGGGGGCGGGCGCATTGAATTACGGGTGTGGGCATGCCCACGCATGACCCCCCACGCTCCCCTTGCTTTTGGCATGTTATGGCAAAAAGGTTAGCCATCCCTGATCTAGATCTTAGATATGGAGGGAAAGCTTGAGGGAACTCTTTGCAAAAAAAAGCCTGAGTGGATGGAAGAAAAAATACCCTTTATACTTACAGTGTGAAAGGTGGAATGGAATGGAATGGAATGAATAAGGCTGGAATCCTAAAGAGAAACATTCTACATTGTAGTGAAAAACCTAAGCTAAGAAATATGAAAAGAAGTGGTTATATTTTTTTATGATTAGGACAATAGGATGAGACAAAGGAATAGTAATTTGTTTTTTAGATATGCAGAAGGAATGAGGACAAATAATATTACAAAGTGCAGAAACAGTGGATTAATAAACCTGGAAATAGTTTTGCTTCAGTACTACCAATAGATTACTTCAACATTTATCTCTATTACAGCAAATCCAATCCTGTTAGGAAAACACATACCTGCAGAATACTGTGTCCTTACAGTGATAGAAAAATTGACTAAGTTAGATTGCAGTTGATTTTTCAATATTTGGAATATTCCATTTCCAGTAAAAACATGTGAAACGTAGCACGTAAATTAATAAATGCAGTCAACCGTTTAGGAGTCCTTTTTCTTATGGCAGGGAGAAATGAAACAGGCACAAGCTGCAATATAACAAGCCTTCTGCTCTGATCTTAATAGGCTAATTACTTTCTGACTATTTTATCCTCCAGTGCAGCTTGTGCTTGGCCACCAGAGGCTTTACAAAACAAACAGCTGTGTAATTTTCTGTGAATTTCCCATTGTTTATATGTGCTTTTCTTCTCCTTATTCATTTATTTATTTATCTAAAGCATTTAAATAGCCA